ATATTGGCAAAAATATAAATAATATATATTATATATAATATATGTAATATATATAAATATATATAATTTTTCAATGAATATTATATCCGATATAAAGAAAAAATTTGATTTTAGCATCGACATACATATTGCACACGATATGTAAATCATGACAGAAAACGAACTTTTCGTAACCGCGATTTGAGAGGCTATTTATCATCGGAATATTTCTTAAAATATTTCGTAAAATAAAATACATATTCATCCGCATTTATTGCTAGTCGAAGAAAAAGCTCTCTCCTCGCACAATTTTTCACAGAATCGGATCGATATTTGTTCTACACAAAATGTACGAAACCATATTTCAAACTCACGTATTTTTTTTGATCAGAAAATATAATACGTAGGAGATCCGAGATTTCGAGAAACCAATTATTCGGTAACATTCCGAAGGAGAGAGACCGGTCGGAAGTAAAATCGTCGCTGGCGCGCCGTCCTCGTCTCGCTTTTTCCAACTTTCCGCGTCGATTCTGCGCAGGCGCAGTGCGCCGACGCCGCAACCTCCGAGCCTGTCGCACAAAAGGGACTAGCTGCGGCGGCGTAGGTGAGCGCCGCGTACACTCAGTCGGTTGCGCGCCGGTCGAGTGTGTGGACGGGTGGCTCGGTGTCGGATCGTTATTTGGTGGGTTTTTCTTTTGTGTACACCGGGCGAGAGAGAGAGAGAGAGAGAGACTTTTATGCGAGTTGCGGGACAGAACGTTGCCACGGGGTGTCCTTACGTGAGGGTAAGTATCCTCCGATAACGAGAGAAAAGTACGCGGTGACGGGTGGATATTGTGCGTCGGGATAAAAATGGCGTGCGTGCCGCTTGAGCTTCTCCCTAGTGTCGTACAGTAGTACCGGTCACGTCACACCGAGACTATCGATGTGTCCGTCTGACGACCTTATCATCATTATTAATAATGACGAGGTATCGCGTTCACCGCTCGGGTTCCTGCGTCGGCGGCGACCGCGCAACGAGGAGCCGTCATCATCATCGTCGTCGTCGTCGTCGTCGAGTCGGAGGAACCCTGCCGGCATCGATTGCCGCCGCCGCTGCCACCTTCGTCGCTGATAGTTGCTGGGGAACGCGTTTCACCGTGCGCGCGATCGAATCATCTCTGCAGCCGAGGGGGCTGCAGAAATCAGGGGGGAGAGAGGGTGGGGGAGAAGGGGGCGCGGAAAATCTTTCTCGCGGTGTCGCGCGCCGTTAAATCCTCTCCGTCGCGTGATGTCACGATCGAAGGGCGTCGTCGTCGACGTTCTCGTCGATCGGTTTCGTGGCTCGTATATATATATATATATA